TCTATCTTGCACTTCCTTTCGGCTTCGATGCACTGAAGAAGTTTAATTACCAACTTGCATTCAACTTCAACGCTGTTGATGACGCATGCATAGTGCTCAGCGAAAGGCTTGAGCAAGGAGACGTCCATAAAATTCTCACTTTGAGGGTGGAGGGCGCTGACTCCGCAGAGTACGTCAATATTTTCCGCAAATCGCCTAGTCAGTTCCACAATGAGGTGGTCCAAAACGGGCAGAAAAACTTTGACTCTGAAAATTTCTTTTGAATCTGGAGGCTCTTCTTCAACGGGCCGTCCTTCACTTAATACAAACTGCTCTAAATGGAGCGGAAGGCGCTTCGTTCTCTGCTTTTCCCTTTGGGGGACCCCGTTCTCCTCAGAAATAGTGCAGGTTTGCTCCCACACAGTGTCAAACGCGCTCTGCGAATTTCTGATTTCGGATAACTCGTCAATGACAGTGTGCGCCACGAGGCATGCCTGACTAAGGTTGCAGTCTTTACTTTGTAATATGTCCGAAAAAACCTTAAGGCGGCTGAGTAGCTTGATGAATAGCCTTAAATGGAAAAAAAAAAGAGAAGTTCATTTGCTCCAGCCGAGCCCCGGCTTCCGTTGCCCGCCTGCTGTTTGTAGCGATGACTTCGCTGAGGCATACAAGAATGGCAGGAAAGCTTTTCATGGCAGCTGTGCAAGCCGTTATCTGGCAGGCCCATTGTGTATCGCTGAGACGCTGCAGCTCTGTCACAGGCAAAGACAACCTTTTTTGAACATCTACATACAGGGAGTGAACTGCAGATCCACTTAGGAATACATAAAGGCTTTCCAAAAGAGAGAAAAAATCCCTCACCGGTTTTATCACCTTGCAGACATCCGCGATGACAAGATTGAGACGGTGGTTTATGCAGTGTACGTATACTGCCTGCGGCAATTCCTGCCTGAATAGTGCCTGGACGCCTCGTGACGTACCGCTCATGACACTTGCACCATCGTATGTTTGAGCAATGCACAGTTGAGAATCGATGCCGCAGCGATTCAGCGTTTCCTTGACGTAGCTCAGGAGCGACTTAGCATCCAATTGCTCAGCGTTGCGGAATCCAAGGAACCTCTCAAAGACAGCCCTATTGAGGTAGTACCTTACTACCACTGACAACTGTTCCGTCTTACTTAGATCCTTGGTTTCATCGACAATAAGTGCAAAGCACTGGGAGCTTTTCATCTCTTCCTTTATACTTGTTAATGTGGAGCGGCACCGTTGCTACGGTGTGACGTCAAAGCGTCTCTCGGCGCAAGTAGCCAATCAGCTCTCGCCGTCGGTTGCTAGCTCTGCTCCTACTAGGTTTTCAATATATGCTTCCGGGCACTTGGGTGGGCATAGGGGGGGGGGGGGGGGGGGGGCAGGCGATAATTTGGGAGAGGGGCTCCAGCCCCCCCTTGCCCCCCCCCCCCTGGCGCCGCCCCTGCTGCCTAAGCCCCCGTTTCACCTCTGTGGGCTTGGATACCTGTTTTTCCTACTTTAGAACTACCTTGTTACTTTTATGCATTAGCAGCGACTCCTGGGCGGCTCACATTCAGTGAATATTCACTCACAACCGCTCATGACGAGTGGCAAGAAATGGGTCAGCTTTGGCTAGTTGGTATGACATGACGATAGTTATAGCGCGAGAACATAACTCCGCCTTTGGTGTCACCGGCCGGGCTCAAGTCGGGACACTTGACCAAAAGGATGCGGCAGACGACGCGAGCATTTGCTTGGCGATGTGCGAGAAAAAACAAGTAATTGTGATAGCGAATATAGTTTCACCTCTTTACTGCAGCCATGTTATGCGGCCTCACTCGGAAAGCGTGTTCAATGCGCGTGGTTGTAGATGCTCAAAACTTGCGAGCCAACGTTTTTAGGAGCTTGTGCAAGCGCCCGCGACAAGAATACAGGACCGCCAATGATCAAGGGCGATGATGATCGTGAAATAAAATAATAGAAACGCAGGAGAACTGCTTGGACGCTGCACGGACCGTAGCCACTGTGACCACTAAAGCTAGCATCGAATTTCGCTGATGGTGGTTTGAAACAACGTTCGTCGCGCACAAAACTTGGCTGGCGTAATCACGAAAAGAGGCAGGGTTTGAGACGCTGGGCTGGGAAGTGTCCTTGCGGTGGCGCTCAAACTACACTAATCTAATCTGAAACACCAAGCACTATTTCGCGTAGCATTGTGTGCGACGCGTGCGTCACGCGCGTGCAAAGCAGCATCCTGACACGTCATTTATTAACGCCATTCGCAAATTCGGCTGGTAATACGGTTTTACAAAGGCGAGAATAAATATTGGTAAACAAGTGCTGGCGAATAAATATAGTTACTTTCACAAAGGCAACGTAGCGACTTCGATATTCATTTTTGTTAGCTTTCTAACTGTTTTTTTTTTTATTTGCGCATTGCAGTGGCTGCGGTCCACGACCTACTGTATTCTACTGACCTGCCCAGCGAGCGAAGCGCCAGCACGCCCTTTCTGGTATTGGCGCCTGCCGCTATGCGCTTTGCGGCGCTACAACTTACCCATCCGCACCGGTTGCCGATAGCCAAAACATAGGCCGCCGCGCTTTTTCTTAAAAGTGTAATGAAGATCTTTTGCTACCGTCTCTTTGTGCCGAGCTGCGATAGAAGCGTGCAGGTAGGTGCAGTTTGTACACCAGCGAAGCGAGGTTTCTTGGTGCAAATGAACCATCACGATGGTGTGTGCTACGTGCCTTTCTGCGAATCAAGCCAAGGGAAGACTTCTGATGTGACTTTTCATGAGTTTCCAGTGATCGAGGTTGGTGAAAAATGGATCAAGGTGATTTCTAGAAAGAGTAAGTCTGCTCAATTAGGTGTTGTCTGGCATGCTGAAAATGTAATATGGGTTGTAAATGACTACGTGTCTTTAAAAGAATTAGTTGCTGGGCTGGTTGGTGGTGCATGACAGACTGAGACGCATATTAGCGAAAAAAAAAATAAACCAACAACCTCAAGAAAGTAAATGATGCACTATACTCACAACTTTTTATTAGCAAAAAGAAAAAAGAAAAGATGACAAGAGTGCACACATGGAAGCCATGTCACTACATGTGGTTATGCTACTAGGTTTTCAAACACACCTATTGTGGGAAGAAGCAGCTTCTTCGAGATTGCTTTGGTAGTTTCATTACATTATCAAAAAGAGCAGAGATCGTTGCATAAGTGAATATTTATCCTCCGTCGCTTAATTAGTTTGACCTCGAACTTGAATTTATGTGCGACCGCGTCTTATATAAACGTGTTAGTTTACCCGTCTACGCGCATGCATGACAAAAGGGCATATACGTGAAAACTTTTCCCCTAATGAAAAGTTGTGAGTAGCGTGTGCCCTTGTCTTCTTTCTTGTGATCATCCGTTTTATTTAGTGCTAATGTATCTCAGCCAGTTACGTGTGTCACATGGTTAACGAAGTGAAGTCATGCGCTCACTTCATAACTGTGTTTTATTCACTTCGCCACCATGGTATAAATTTCTAATTGCATGATATACTTAGAAAAGAACAAGAAATTTTGTATTTTATTCACAATATTTCACTGAATGTTCATCTTCTTCCTTTCAAGGTGCTGGCAATGAAGTTTGGCTCCCAAATGACAGGTCGAAGGTGCGCAGTGTGCACTTTGCTCCAACCGACTATAAGCCGAGACTAAAGATAAAAAGACTGAAAGCGAATGCTGTGCCATGAGTGTTTCCACACTATCCAAAGTACATGGTGCCGCCCGTGGCAAAAGTCCGCCGCACCTTAAAACGTTCAAATGTTCAGGAACATTGACTCTGCCCAAAGAAAGAAAGTGACTAACAATGTTTAATGATTGACGTCTCCCCACGGCTCTTGCATACGAATTAGACCAAACAAAACGAATTTCAAGGAAAGGCGAATAACTGAACACAAATTTTTTAATGCAGGAAGAACACAGGTTCAGCCCCGGCGTGCAGCAGAGCTTGACATCGAGCGACATATGTCATCAGTACCATCCGCAAACACAACTTCAGGACCATCCTCAGACTTTATGCACCCTCTCACCGAATTTGAACGCACAGAACCACCTGAAACTGCACCTGGTGACAAAGTAAAAAAAAAAAGATTGACCGACGCTCATTGGCCACGCAAACAACTATAACCAGCCAGAAGATGCGCTGTATGATGACTTCCGTAAAATCATCGCACCGGAAATGCCAAACCATAGCAAGGAATAATGCTGAATTAAAAGCGCAAATAGCCAAGCTGAACCGTGAAGTTGCAGAGGTTAATCTGCTCTCCAAAAGAGCAAACGCTGCAGTCTTACAGGTAAAGTTGTTTGCTGTTTCGTTTCAAAACAATTGCAGAGTGTTTTTTATTGATTATTCATGTACCTGAGATCTACATTTACCATTTGAGGCGAAGGTATTTATGCGCAAAATTGTCTGTATTGGGTTGTTATCTATGCGCGCAGGATGTTTCGGCCACTGTCAAATGTCATAGTCCTTGCACTCTCTTGACCAGACAGTAAATTCAATCCAGCTGAGTGTGCGACAACAAGTCTACCATTGTATACACGTATAGCCCGTATCATGAGTTAAATAAACATTTGGAGGGCCAGAACTTTTCACAACCTGTCTCTGTCATCGTTCTTTCTTGTTTTGCACGCTGATACATGTGTTTGTATCTAATTTGTGGTTCTATTTGAAAAATAATGCACTGAAATGTCAACTAAAATGCAAAAGAACATTCTCAAAGTCACATGAAATAAAATGATTCAAGATAACCGCCATATTTACTCAATGCGTGATGAAACTCTTCTCGAACCGGTGGTAACCCATGCATTTCCATGTATCCACCAGCGCTCAGCTGTGGTAACTCGAGCGCCCCCTAGGCGGTGAAGTTCGGCATCCGAGCCGGCGCAGGCAGCTCCGTAGACCGCCGCTAGCTGGGCAGGTCAGGAGTACAGTAGGTCGTGCTGCGGTCCTGTTACCGCCTGTCAGGCTGCGCGCTGAGCATGCCGGGATTGATATCGGCGTTCTCGCGGTGTCTGATCCTGGCGGCGTAGTGTGTGCTCTTCGGCTCGGCGCACTTTCGAGAGTAAATAAGGTGGATATGTTTTTCGCCCTACCCTAGTGTACCAGAATTCAGTAGTATCTAATGATCTGTGAGACTCACGGTGGTGGAAGGTTTAGTCCGGCGCAAGCTGTAGCTATTCAACAAAGGAAGCGGTGTTTCTTAAGCCTATCCGGCCGGTTAACTCTCACAGTAAATATAGGCTCTTTGAACTTACGTGTAGTCAGTGATACGCTCGAGCATCGTTGTAAGCTTGAAATGTTTTAGAACGCTTGTTCCGGCATCGCGTATAAAGCTTTCTTACGAAGCTTGTTTTGCCGGCACTGTAGCGTGCCGGCACAACATGGCGGCTGCGCCGGCCGCCTTTACGACTGGCTTCCCAGCATGCGCCACCCATGCTACCTGATAGAAACGAACGAGAGCCGGTGCAACTGTTCCCACATTCTCTTCTAGTTTTGGTTTTTCTCAATTTGGTGTGCTTTCGTTTGGCAGGTGCCGTTGTCCTCTATCTAAGTTGCGTAGCGTGGCCGATAATCGCTGGCCAAAACTGCGTCGATAAGTCTACACTCCCTGAATATTACCCCCGAAAACGGCGTAGTTCGTGAACGACGGTACGTTTCAGAAGCGAGGTGTTCTGTAAACAACTGTGCTGCGCCATAACGCCTGCGGCAATTCAAGTGTTCGATTTTTTTTTTTCGTCACCGTATCGTTCGGGACGCGTCTTGGCCGCTCTTCTAAAATATATCGCCTGCTTGATAGCCAGGTTAGTTCATGAGGTCTTGCCACTCAATTTATGCTGGGCGCCTTGACATGAGGACGAAAGCGCAGCTTTAGTGGCGATCCCTTAACGCAGACGTGTGAACAATAGTGTCGTGGAAGCATGCACTAGTTTGCCTTTTTTTCCCAAAGTTATTAGAGCGAATTATTGCATAGCTATCATAGGTGGTGGTCTTCGGTTTGACCTCGTTGATTCAATTTGAAATAGCTTGGCGAGAAATTTTGCATTGTGAACTCTCTGAAGAATACCTTTAATTGTGCATGTATGTATGCAGTCTTTTGAGTTCAGTATACTCGAAATTTCGCTCTACAGCTGCAGTTAGTAGCCTCTGAAAAATTCTTAGCCGATAGCCTAAATTCATCTACTAAGCAAGTATTTCCTGTGGCGTAATACACCATTTAATACATCAGGTGCGAATCTGTAGAAGTTATGCAAGACGTTCAGTCAGCTGTATGTGTGACTGCGTGTGTCTCGCGATTGGCTTTCATCGTAAATGCTCGTGCGATAGTAGCGCGAATGGCACGCACTGCCTATGGAACGGCTACAAATAAAACATCCAAGAGGTGTGAACAAAGCGACGCTCAGCGTTCTAGAACTTGGTCGTGTAACGGCGCGTCTTTATCTCTGATGCTTCAAGCATTTTCATTTTTTACTACGCCTTAAAAGGAAATGAAATCTTGTCTTGGATGGAAACATCATACTATTTCTTTATGCAAGCGCATTCTTTGCAAGAAGGGTCGCCAGCCCCCACAGCGTTGCACCTAATGTAAGAAACTGAGTATAGTGGATTCTCTAGCAGCATGCGTCAGTGTGCAAATATGTCGTGAATGTTGATTTTTCAGGTCTTCTTGACATTCCTTTTTGCCTCTGCCCCTTTTCCCCCCTCACGTTCGCCGGACGAGCGTTCTGTCGAACCTTGGCGTTTGGCTGAGCGCAAAGCCGTGCCGAGCAGTGTACATGTGTGTGTGTGTGTGTGTAAGCGCCGCTAACGTGTGCTTGTATGTGGTCGCTCGTGTGTGTGGTATTCGCCAGGACAGCTCCAGTGGATGTCCTGTCAGCTTTTGCCGCCCCTCCTCCCCACGAACGGCGTCTGCAGCCCCAACACAACGCAAAAATGTCCCGGGATTCTCCGCAGATGGCACGCTACAGGGACACCTGCCCCATAGACTGCAAGGTGTACGTCGGTGAGTTGGGAAACAGTGGCACCAAGCACGAATTGGAGGAGGCGTTTGGCTACTATGGGCCCCTGCGCAACGTGTGGGTGGCCAGAAGCCCACCTGGCTTCGCCTTTGTAGAGTTCGAAGACCCGAGAGACGCACGGGATGCTGTGCGCGCACTGGACGGCAAGTGAGTATTGTCTGTTAGTCGTGTGATTACGTCAGCTATTGCAGTCAACTCTTTGATGCTGAAAAGGTACTATATTCTAGGCTAGTTTCCTGGCCCTCAATAGCACAGCCTCAGAAGCTGCTGCTCCGATAGATGCATTAGAAAGCACTGGCCCCCAGGTTTTGGGTCCAAAGGCTTTGAGCAGGCATTTGTGCTATTTCTAGATTTCTCACGTTTTGCTTGCATGATACTTTTTAATTAATTCAGCACTCCTGGACGACATGTCACAGCCAATGTTTTATAAAAATTTTGATGCTTCTATAGCTGTATTCGCTCGATGAACAGAATTGTGATTCAAGCCTGCAGATGGCTTATTAAGTCACCATATGTTAGTTGTTCCCGCCTTAATCCGGGTGGAGCGACTTGTGAAACGAATGAGGCTGAAATTGCTGTTGGGATCGTCTGGAAACAAAGCCGTAATCCTCGCTTAGCAGCGAGAGTTCTTCCTTGTGTGAATGCTGATTGCAGAAGGACAACATACCATGTGCCTAATTCGTCCGCGATCACGTCCACTGTGCAAATACAGCTTACACAGTGCATGCGTACCTTTATGTTAATTTACAAACACATCGCCTCTGCTGCAAGTTCTGTGGTCCTCCTTTTGTGCAGGATGCTTTGCGGCCGTCGTGTGCGTGTAGAGTTATCCACGGGGAAGTCTCGCAACTCTTCGTATCGTGGCTCCTCACGTCCCTTTCAGCCAACGGACCGTTGCTACGACTGCGGCGAAAGGGGCCACTACGCCAGAGACTGCAGGGTCTACTCGCGCAGGAATTCCTCGCGGTAAGTTCTGCTTGCCGACTTTTACGTAGTTTTTAACATTGTTGCCTTCACATTGTAGTACAGTTTAATGCAGTTTAGTTAGGGTAGAGCAATCTTTAGGAAACAAAATATGCATTACCTTCGAAGGAGGCAACATGGACTACCTAATTTGTAGCTTGTTTTGCAGTTGCCACGTGACATAAATAAATGATGGAACAGGTGTAGGACAGCTTATTTTGAGTTTGCAGAGGGATTGTTTTGGCTCTTTTGCATTGAGTGAATGGTGTGAGTGCGTGCACGTGCGTCTTGTGTGGCGAGTAATGCTGATGCCCCATGTTTTGTAGGCCTGAGCCTCGCCCCCGTTGTCGTAAATGTCTGCGCACGAGAGGCTTCGGTTGAGTCGGCGGTGGTTGGCAGCGGCGCACGATGCCAGCACTCCCAACCACTACAACTACTACTACAGCGCCAAAAAATTGGGCAGCTAGAGAGATGATCACATGAGAGCGAGGCGGCCACTGCGTTGCAAGTGAACAGGGGCGGCAGCCTGCACTGCTACTCGTCTGCTAGTCTGCTAAGAGAGCTTCACTGCTACTGAGATGGGGGCAAACTGCTCTGCAGAACACACTACTACTGCGTAGTTCCACAACTACTACTACTACTGAGAGGGTGTCGGGAAGAGAGTTGCCACTATCGGCAAGAGATTGCACTGTGCACCTCTGCAAGCAGGCAGAATGTGCGGCGGCTGCTTCTGCTGCTGCAGCTGCCAAAGGTGAGTCTGAGGTTGGGGGCTCCGCCTCACGGGGCTCCCCTGCACTGAGAGCTATGCAGGAATGAGCCCTCTCTGTTGTTTCTATTTTTTTGTTCTCTAATGGCATGAGCCTCCTGGCTCCTTGTTGAGAGGGCCTTCGGAAAACGGCGCTTGTGATCCATTCTCTCAAAATGGTCGAATGGTCGGGAATGGGGAAAGACATGGTTGCCTTGAGTGGTTGTGGAAGGGGGTGGGGTGTTCCTTGCCCAGGTTGAGGACGAGTGCAGTAATGAAGGCCGTGGTTAGTTGACAAGCAGGCAGCACTTCGTTACTTGCAGGGAAGGGTTGTGTGTGGATGTAGGAGGAAGAGAAAAAACAGTGTTGCCTAGTTTCTTTGCGTGATGAATGACCAAGCACTGGGGCTAAGACTGGGAGCAAAGTGGGAGTGGTCTGGGAAAGTGGTAGCACAGTGTGCTGCATGCTGCATTGTTTGAAGAGGGACACTGTTGACACTTGGAAGAGCATCCCAGTTGGTGAAGGGATTTTTTTTATATGTTGCACCTTGCTGCCTCTGTTTGCATAAGCAGATTAGCTGCAGCACCACTGTATGTAGACTTACCTGTAAATATAATGCCCGGTAGCTATGTTGAATGACGCAGTAATAAAACTGTTCTCTTTTTTACGTGTATCGTTAGTCAGATCCATAAGATGGTCTATCACAGCACTGAAAGTGTTTTTTGTGTAATGTGTTCTGTACTGTGTGTTTGTTGCTTTCATTCATGTGCATGGTGTATCATAAATTAGCTCTAGTGTTATGCCAGGCTTTTTTATTCAAGGCATAATTTACTTTCCACTTTGCTCGTTCTTGAATGCAGCCTTCGTTAGTTTTAGTATTCGAAGGCTTTGCTGTGTTCGACGCACCATCTGTGCTATAGTTTAAAGGGGTACTGACCCATAAATTTTAACCTCGTGTTTTTATTTTTTTTTTTCCAAAATGTGTTGCTGGGGGCCTGGTAGTAACACTGTACGTTGCTTGCTGCAGTGTGTGACAATTTCTGGATCGAACTCTGCTGCTGACCTGCTGGTCATGCAATCAAATTCCGGCTTGGAGGCAAAAAAATGCTGTAGGCTTGTGTGCTCAGATTAGGGTCATGTTTAAGAGCCCCAGATGATTGAACTTTTCGGAGCCCTCCACTACGGTGTCTCTCATAATTATATGGTGGTTTTATGGATGTCAAGGGGAGACGCCGGTCGAAAAGTCGCGGTTTGCCGGAAAAATTTCTGGTCTTTGTTTTTTGGTCGTATTGGCATTCCTGTACTATAATCTTTCACTTCTGAAGATATCAAGCTGAAATTCGCATGGAGAAATAATCTAAGAATGCTTCCAAGTGGGGAGCGGCGACGTGAGAAATGTGCGAAAAACCAAAAATGGCTTAGTTTGCGTTGGCCGCAATTTGCAATCGTGCACGCATGCTGCAAATGCCTTCCCCTTCACAATCCATTAGTAGCCAGTCTTGCATCTTCACGAAGAATAAAAAAAGACAAGAACACCGCATACGCCACGCGTTTTGAACATGGCGGCAAGCAGCGCGAGGCCGCCATTGGTCCGTGGTGCGCTCCGCCTCCTCCCCTTCTATCTTTCCGGCAAAAGAGCGCAGCCTTGGACGTCGCAATCAAGTTGTTCGGCGTTTCTCTGCAGTTTCGCGCCATGGCAAGCCACAAGACGCGGTGTCTAGATAATCGAAAATTCAGAACTCACCCCAGGTATCGAGGGAAACTGCGTCAGACGCTTCCCAAAGCACAGTGAATGCTGATGTCACCGCCGACCAACGTCTCGACGCTCAGACTTCGAATAGGCCTAACACTGACATCGAACCCCGCGGCGACAGTGGTTGTGAAATCCCACTGCCGGGGAATTTGTAAGTACATCCCAAATGAAGAGCGAATTCATGGAGAGAATGTAGTCCAGTAGGTGCGGCTACTTTCAACACGCTGCTTTGCGATATCGATGCACTGATTACCCTGGGGGCGGGTGCGCAATGCCAAACCTGCCGAAAACGGAAACTCTGCGTCCAAGACATAGCTGGAAAGCGCAAAGGGCTTTCGGCATTCCTCGAACTCTGCCCTGAATCTACACTTTCATTCGCGCATGCGTCGAAGCTTGCTACTTCGGACTCTTGCCTAAGCAAGAAATCGCGAAAAAGCATAGGATACCGAAAACGACGCTATCTACTTATATAAAGAATAGGACTATTGAAGATGCCTTAGAGGCAGAAGTTGCGAGCAAAAGGAGGAGGTTGCGGCCCGCAAAGTATCCTGACCTCGAGAAAGCGCTTCTCACTTGGAAGAAGGAAATGCGTTCGCAGGGCTTACCACTGAGCGGCCCAGTCATACTGGCAAAGGCAGCGGACTTCGCCCTGCAGCTAGACTACGACGACTTCGCTGCTTCAGATGGGTGGTTGCACCGTTCTCGCGAGCGCTACGACCTCGTTTTCCATGCTGTTCTGGGTTAAATGAAGCCGTCAACATGGAAACATGTGAAGGTTGGCGCTTCATAGTGCTTCAAGGCTACATGGAGAAGTATTCTCCGCAGGGCATATTTAATGCGAATGAAACTGCCTTATTTTTCAAATTGATGCCAAAACTATCATTTATAAATGCGACAAGTGCGCGGGAGGGAAGAAAAAGTAAAGAACGGATAACTGTGATGGTTGCTGCAAACATGACCGGGACCGAGAAGTTGCCTCTGTTTGTTATAGGCAAATCGAGAAGTCCTCGTTGCCTCAAGAAGATCCCGTCGGACTACGCGGCCAACAAAAAGGTCGGGATGACGGGGGAGTTGTTCGCGCAGTGGCTGGGGAAGCTTGACAAGAATTTCGAACGCTGTGGTCGCCAAGTCCTGCTTCTTGTGGACAACTGCTTGGCTCATGAAGTCAACGTTGAGACGAAGGCCATTGAGCTGGCCTTCCTTCCGGCAAATATGACAGTGGTACTGCAGCCCATGGACCAGGGTACAATTAGAAATTTAAAATCATTTTATCGGCATCATATGTTGGAATGAATTATTTTGTGCAATAACTACCAAGTGACAGCGCTTACGATAGCAAATTGCTATCGCCACTGTGGTTTCAGCACCGAAGCTGAAACCACAGTGGCTGAAACCACATCGTCGCCGTAAACGCTCGACAAAATTGTCACCGCGTTGGCGATCTCCGACGGCTGCGGGCGGTCGTCGTTGTCGTCGGACGACGACCGCCATCCGGCGACATCTAGCTGCGAACGTCCACTCTCTATTAGCTTGATTATGGCAGCTTTCTTCTCCATCGTCAGGGTCGTATACTTCCCACGCTTCTTCACACCACCTGGCTCCCGCGATGGCACAGATAGCGGAGCCATGGCACCGAGAACACAAAAGAACACAAAGCCGCTGCGAAGCACACAACGTCTCGACGCTACGCGACACAACACGTGCAGAATGGCGACTGAAAAAAGCTGCAACGACAATAAAAGAATCCTTCTTTCGCCTCCTCCTCGTGCGATGTGATGACGATAGTGCTGACCGAAGACGAAAAAACGGCATCCATCACCGCGTCTTTTAAAAAGCAAACACGGCCTCCGAAACTTAAAACATGTCGTGCGCATTCCAATCTCGGAGGCAGGAAAAGCATTTAAAGACCAAGTTTAGCCAAGCCGACAGAAAATCCAACATGGCGGCGTTCACAATGGCTTGGAACGTGGCACAAAACGAGCGATTTAGTCCGAAAAATCGAACTTTCAGGGGCAAATTCGCCCGAAAAATCGGTCAAAACAATGCATTAGCTCTATGGAATCCCTGGCGGTGCATTTATGAAGTCCGGAATATCCAACAAGTCCGAATTTTTGGAGTCCGGAAAATCGGTCGGCGACTGTAGTCGCTGAGATGAAGACTGCTTGAATGAATGCGACAACAGAGAAATAGCGGCTAAGACGCCATCATAGCTTTAGTATTAACTGCAGCTTGGTGATGTGAAGGAAGTAGGGGGCTTACTGTGGGATCACTTGTCAGTGTCAATACCACTAGGCACTCTATCGTGCATGCGAATGTTAAAATTCATGTAGAACACCTTCCAAGCTATATTCGGTATTTGTTTTGCAGATATATGCGTGTTCACAGTAATCTGTCTCGCGAGCTGCAAAATTTATTGTCAGTACCCTTTTGAGTTGCCATTTGTCTTGGTTTTGCAGTTATCACAAGCTGTAGCTTTGTTATTGCCACAAAAAGCAGGTGTGCCGAGGTATCTTTTCTGGTGGTGGTACAGCTTAGTCCGTCACATCAAGTGTGTCCGTCTGGTCCTGCATGCCTCCTCAATCGTCACGATCTGAGAAAGTAATTCATCTTCAGGGCTAAATGGCATGTTTTTTTCAAATTGTTGTCTTGCATGCTTTGTAATCTCCCCCACCGCCCTTCTATTTTATTTTCTTGGTGGTACTTTTTGTCAGTTTTTCCTGTTATATCCTGCATGATGTTCACCTGTTTCGATTATGTTGTGTACACTTGGTTCACGGGATTCGTGTCGCACATAGGAAAGGAGTTGAGTTTGGGTAGGAGAAGAATGCTTACAGTGCAGACTTTGCATGGACGAAGGATTGGAGACATTGAAAGTCAAACTGCCTCCTTCGTCGTTCCCATGTATCTTTGCACTGTAAGCATAGCTTGTCTTGTAGTCTAAATGTCTGTTTCTAAGTAAAGGACATTACTAACAGACAGTCAAGCCAAGAAAAGTATTAGGCACGTCATTTGTAGTACATTCGAATTCCTTTATAACTAACGCAGATGTAGCCGAGAACTTCGTATAAGAGATACTAGTGTGCCAACATTGAAACGGGTTGATTTGAAAATGCATCCGTGTTACACACTGCTTATAAAATATACCTTTTATGGCAGACAAGAATAGTTGCATGTCTTTTATAAAGGGGTTCAAATGTAATTGTGATGTAAATGTGAATAAATTGAAGTGGGCCGAAAGACGGCTTGCCACTGGCTGGGACCATACCGGCAACCTTTGAATAACTCATCGGATGCTCCACTTATCGAGCTTGTGGTGGCGGTTTTTCTTCCATACATCTTATTAGGTATACAGTAAACTCCCATTAATATGAATTCTTGCTTAAAGACGAACAACACGTTTTCGGTATCCCATAGACAATAAAAAGAAAGAAGAAATGCTTAAGACGAACTCTCCCAGGGATCAGCCATGACTTGGATTCTGCGCGACAAACATAGTTTTGATGGGGGCATTCCGGCTAACGAAACGAAAAATGGGCGGGGGGGGGGGGGGGACTTCTTGGCACACAAGACTCTAAAAAAAATCAAAATTGAATCGACTTGCAAGCAGAAAGCGAGATAAGTGGAAAACGAAGGTCAGCGCATAAAGCTTGTACAGTATAATCTCATAACGCACCTTTATAGTGAAGAGGATTTCGGTCTGTTCTAAAAGGAGTGCAAAATCGAAGTACTGTTACTACTAACTTTTATGTAAACGCTGAGTGGGTTCGTTATAACCAGAGAATTAAAGGCATAGACAGATTTTCTCTCAAAGGGGGCATATAAAAATGATTTTTTGAAAGCCTTGCTTAGTTTCCGTGGCCTTTTCTTTTTTTAAACCAGATTCCAAAACATGTTCATTGAAAACTATACTGATGTGCTGCAAAAAAAAAAAAAAAAACTGTTTTCATTTGTGATAGCTCTTACATGGCTCAACCATCTAAAATCTCTATACTTAGTGACGCTTTCGCTCTTGTTCTGTGTTCACGGGTCACAATTCAGTTAAGGCAGCTGCAAGCAGAAGTTCAGCTATCAGATAATGAATTCACGCTAAACTCGTGAACATCGCAGGCGCATGTCTTTGGCCCAGTTTAATAGTGTCTCATTAGACCCCCTGATTATCAGCACTCTGACCTTGGGACGAAGACCACGGCGGGACAACTCTCTATACTCACAATCGAGCACGACGTACTTGGAAACATCGGACGCTGCTGCCAGGCACATTAAACTGAGATTTTTGCTCGAAATAGTAGCTACGTCTAACTTTACTCTGAATTTTGTGGGCAAGATCATGGCTTTAGCGGACATGCGAATACGAAGAAGACGTGATGTCCTTCATTGAAAGCGACAAATTGCATCGCCTGCTCGCTCGAACCGTGGATGGGCATTTCGCGCATCAGTGGTAGAACCCCCGTGGCCAAGCTTGGCACGCAGTGACTGCTTGGAGCAGTAACAGCTAGCAGTTTCGCGCACCACCGCCCCAAGAGCAAGCCAGCTGCACGGTGATTTTTTTGTCACCTTAGTAAGACATATCTGATAATTAACAAGTAAGACATATCTGACCATTAACAGGCCACTGATCGGTGGCCTTCGTTCGTAAATCAATACGTCTGTATTCGCGGAAGTCTGAAGTAATTGAGTTTGGGACGTCCACAGTAGAAAAATCCAGCAGTAAAGGAGTCCTGACCACCTTGCTTGCCTCACATTTTAGTCTATTATATGCGAACGTCCGTTGTACCAGAATCCGCAGTAAACGAAGCTCAATCATTAGAACAAATACATAAGTAAGCATAACGCCTATTGGTACGTAGTATCCTAGTGTCAGTGGGAAGCACATTCGTTGTAATGAGGTTATACTGTATACCCTCACCCCTGGCCTGTAGGTGAAGGGCTGGCTTTATCTGCAAAGAAAGCAACAAAAAGCGTTCGCTCTTCATATTCTCCTCTCGTTTAGTTCCCCTAAAGAAGTACAGTAGAGAACACATTAACCCAAGAGCTTTGCTAGAGAGGGATGTGCAACGGAGGGGGGGAATAAAAAAAGTCAAATGAATGTGAAAACGAGAACAAAGATTGTCTGTTCATTATAATCGCATGAAACTGCAACCAAATATGCGGCACTAGCACTGTCATAAAATGCAAGCTGAGCAAAGCCAGTAAAACAGCCTATTGGAAGGTGAACAAATAAATGCATTTTCCATTCTTTGAAGGAAAGTTGTGCCTGTCTCTCTTATCTTTTACTAATCGTCAAAATAGGGCCTTGCTACAGTTGTTAAAATGCTCGTGAGCACGTTTACTAAGAACTCACGAAATCGGGTACTTGGTAAATTAGTTAAAATACTCTACTTGTTTTTGTCAAGCTGAGCCAAATAAATGCTGCTTCTTGTTTCTTTCCTCCCCATTTTAACTACATTTAGTGTTTTTAGGCAACATATATAGGCCTACATGGCTTTTTAGCATTGAGTTTTTGGGGACACTTCTGATGAGATGAACTGATAAGAGCAAATCAGTGTGGTCCCTTCGAGTTTGTCTCAAAGGAAGTCTACTGTATCTGTGCTTGGTGTACGGTAGGCTGACCACCACTGTAGCAGGGTTGATAGATTATCAGGTAGTTTGCATGTTTGCACCCTGCCAACAGCAATTTGTCTTCTCAATGAGTTGATGTTTTAACTAGTTACTGCAAATGTCTGGCTTGACTGTCTGTTAGTTCTCATGGAGGATGTGTCTTGCAAAGAATGACTCCTTTCATGCAAGTATAAGCGTGGGATGGGTCCCTTAAGTTAGGGCCACGGTAGAGAGGGTCGGGCTAGTTGGCACGACAGTGTGTTGGCAGCAGTGACAGCTGGTCGTCCCTGGGTCATCGTTCGCGCAGCCGTAGCCGTTCAAGGTCCAGGAGCCGCTCGTTCTCTCCTCGCCGTGGAGGAGGCGGAGGCGGTGGCCGCTCCCGCTCTCTGAGCAGGTCGCCCCGGAGGTCCCCGCCAGCCGGATCTCGGAGCCGCTCACGCAGCCGGTGAGTGGCACAACCCCCTCTCACGGCCACTGCAGGTAACTGCACACGTACACATGGTTTCTTTCTCTGTACGACCTCCCTTACCGGTGCCTGCCTGCTTTTCTTCGTCCATGGATTTGTCACCCTGCTCTTGCACGTGCACGGCTTCTCTTGCTTAGCTGGTGTGGGGAGCAAGCCTCTTAAGCTGGTAAAAAAAACCATACAGCATAGAGGGCTGGTCAGGTAACTCTGGGCTCTACTTCGATGACAAATGCAAACTCTTTGAAGTGAGGCTCAGCATTGGTATAGTGTTAAGGGTTTTATAAGTTCATCATTAAGGCTGTCATAACGTAGTCTCTCGCTATGGAACCACATAACTGTGGCACAGGAAGTCCCACAACTACATTTAGATTCTAACTACAGCAACTTTCCCAACTTTCGATTCTGTTACATTTAGATTGATTTGGTTGTCTTTAGGGGTGTGCAAATATTCGAAATTTCGAATATATTTTAATTGCGTTTCTTGTTCGATGTTATTCACACTTGAATTTGGCTATTTGAACTTCCCAGACAAATATTCAATGTTTAAATAAAAGTAACCTCTTCCGATTGTCGATATGCTTCACTTCATCGCACTTTTGTATTGCGGCAAAGCTACTTTGGCTCTGCTACGGTTAATGTACTGACTCAACAAAACGCAGGTTCCAACATGGAAATGCTATCATGTGGCAGAGGTGGGGGGCTTAAATAAGGCTGTTTTAGAGCTCTATATTTTGGTAGGAAGTTTGAAAAATTGGACCCCATAAATTTTTAGTATCTAATGTTTGAGGTGTTCTGCTATATTGCCATCTACGAGGCAGATTTGGAACTCCAGGCTTGAAGGGAGCATACCTTTGTCTTTCACGTTAGTTGGACTTCAATAAAGTTGAAAGAGGATGAGATCCTGAGGAAATGGCATCTTTGCCTTTCACGTTTAAAGGGACACTTAAGTCAAATAACAGTTTACGTCAGTGACAGCTTAATGTATGGCAACACCTAGAACAACATTATCAACAACAATCCCCTACTTGCTGAGAAATGAAGGTAAATGCATAAGAACACAAGCGCCGCCGTAGGGCATTTTCAAAATGATTCCGATGACATCAGACGGACCGCCTACAATTAATCACTAGTAATTAATCTAACTGCACTAAATAAAGAACCTTCCGTGCATCAAGAGAAGCAATTAAATGCTGCTTGTTCATTTCAGTTTGATTCATGGAAAAAAGGACCGCCGGACATTACTATGGGGAATAGCGCAAGTGGTTCAAAAAGTCAATTTTCGCGTGGTTACACGGGGCAGGTGGTGCCATCTAGCGGGACGCAGTAGAAACAAACGTCTGCAATCTCAAAGCCACTTGCGAGAAATTGATCAATGGCCATATTTGCTGCTGTGGCTCCCGCTGCTTTCGATCTGCTGCTACTAGCGCAGTAAAGCTGGGCAACGTTCTGCATTGCGACAGTGACATGAGCCGGTACGCTTCTTGAGGCGGGCAATTTGAAGGGCGCTAACCCGATGCGGGCCACTAATACGTCATTTTATTTCAAAATAGGTCCTTCCTTGGCACATAGGTAATACTTGGAGGTTTCTAGACCACCATCTCAACAATTAACGTCGACGTAATAGTTGCTTTATTTAGTGTCCTTTTAAAGTGTTAAGTATATTTGTTGCACCAAGTCATGTACGTGGTCAGTTTTTATGACGGGGAACATGCGAGCGCATGGCCTGCGCACTCATGCAGTAGCTACAGTAACCACAGCCTCTTTTGGCATGCAGTAGAGAGGAAAACGACCGGTCATTGGTGATAAGTCAGCCTCACAGGCGACCTCCTTCAAGGGGCAGGGGTAGCAATCTTGCCGCTGGTTCCGTATCACCAATGACTGGTTGTTTTGCTCGCCAATAGATGACTTGCAAAGTGGCTGTGGTTTCTCTCGCTCCCTCTTGAATGGGCTGCTAGCAGCCGCCAGAGCACACGGTAATGCGCTCGTGTGTTCCGTCATAAAAATTGACAGTGTACATCGGTCTCTGCATTCGCTCATTCTTCATGAGACAACTATAAAAAGCCACCCCGCCAGCACTTCATCAACTTATCGAAGAGAAACACTTCCATGTTGCTGTTTCATGAAAATATGCTCAGGAATTTTGAAGACATTCAAATTGTGTGAAAAAAAAACATGTTGGACGCATAACAATCACACAGGAAGCGCAGTTTTGAGTCGCGCATACCCTGCACTTGCGCATACCCTGCACTTGCGCAAAACCTGTTGAACGTGTGCAGCTTCACGTGTCTGAAAATTGAAAAGTGTGATGCATGCTTGCTAATAAATTTGAGTGTCTAAAGAATTTAACGTCCAAATGCACGCATTGCCTATGAAATGAACGCGAGGGGATGAAAGCACCATCGCGGAAATTCGCCGACTACTAGACCACCTTGATTATGCGCATTACATAGAAACTGTGTCGAATCACGTTCAGAATTTGACGCGTTTAAAGACGCCAACCATTCGATTTCATGGGTGCATACCCTATTTAAGATATCCCAATCGAATCAAGAACCACTATCAGAGCGCTACAGGTGCCGCCATTGTTTTTATTAACGATATGTGTCCCTTCCCGTCAAGTGCGGCCACCACAAAGAGTTTTGTTGATTCGGTACCAAACCGCAACTTAGATTCACGCGACCGCTACCGATCGAAGCGCAACCAATGCCGATTAGGCCTAGCTTGCCGTTTGGTATGTTGTCGCAGAAAGTCTGTCCAAGACATGAATATTTGGTGTCAAAAAGATCGCACTAGCAGTGAACCAAGAACAGCGTCCATGATACGAAGTTCGCATTCATGGCTGGCAGATCAGCAATGACAACTCGCCAAGCTTATGTACGACAGCGCACTCACAACAAGAGTAAAAGCTCTCGTCATGAAGCCACAAAATGTTTTAAATTTACGGACAAGGAAACAAACGCAATATTTGTTGCAAGCTCGATAATCACGTCTTTCTTGACAGGAAACTGTTAAGCGCATGCACTTAAAGAGGGTGGGATCGCAAGTGCCACGTTGATCGGTGCGCGGCCGAAGCCATGCTAACGACGTAGTGCGTTGCAAAGTTCACTAAGCAACCGTCTTCCTCCCTTACTCGTCGAGCCCGTGCAGTGTACCGCGGTCTTTTTTTTTCTTTTGCTTTTTCTTTTCTCCACTCTTCTTCATTCACTCAGTGTCCCCCTCCTCCTCCATAACGACCTCGTCGTTCGCTCCCCAGCGCGCCTCCTTTCAGAAGCGGACTCGCTACCGCGTTTGTCATAATTTCTGTCAACAGCATTATAAACGGTCTTTCATCTTGAGGGACTGTACAATAAGTGGTATGCGCATACATGGGGTTCTATGGGAGGGTAAATGGAAGTAGAAAGAGACCGCATTGTAAGCGGTTCTGCACTATAAGTGATTACTTTATAAGTGGTCTACACTATATGTCCTAAATATCAACTAGCCCTACGAGATGCATGACTTCAGCATGCTTAATTATTTCACACTTTTCATCCTGCAATTTTGTTTTGAGTAATTCCTAAAATATTCACAAAATATTTTATCCCTAGAGTTCTAGTTTTGCATGGTCTGCAGATACATATATTTTTTTACTTCTTCTCAGAGGTTACGAGTTACATATGTGTTTGTCTCAAAAATGTCTATTCTGATTGTTATGTTGTAATGCACTCTATTGCACTAGCAATTTTTCCCATCTATGCTTGTCTTCATCTGTGCTTTAGAAAGTTATCGCTCTTATTCCTTCTGGCTAACCTTCTTTCCTGCTGCAGGCTTCTCTGAAAGTGACAGAATTGCCTTCTTCTGACACTTCTGCAACAGTTATAACTAGCAAGAAGAGCCCAGCTGTTAGAAGATTTTTCGATGCATGCAATTTCTGCTGCTTATGCACTTTTGTTCACTAGATTGAGCTGTATATTCTTTAATGCCTTGTGTACCCTTTGGGCCTTATTCTCACAGGCATGAAAAACCACCTCATGTCTCTTTAACAGACCAAGTTTTTTGTGATTGGCTATCGGTCCAAGTTTTTGTTTCTGAAGAATGTCGTCTTTTTGATGCCACGGTAACAGAGCCCTGCAACATTTAAGTAGTTCGGTACGAAGTTGGAGCCATCATTCAAGTTCGTAAAGCAGGCTCACTGGCAGAGTCCTTGAAAATATTGCTGTCCTACCCTAATTTGTTGTTTTCTTGACTATGCTATTGGCATATTGAATACTGATCTGCTTTTAGCTGCATAACTAGTAGGGGGACATTTTACAAGAACATGTGTTGGAGGTATTTTTTTATGCCAGGCAGTTTAATGGCTGTGAGATTGAGGCCTTGAAGAGTCACTGAAGGAAGGAATACATTCCTCCAACTTGGATTTGTTTAGATGTCTCTGAGTGTTGTTGAATATGAGCTCTAAAGCGTCTGCGGTCTCGCCTTCTCACCTTGGCTTGAATTTCATTTGCCAAAATAGGCTAGTTTAGAGGGGAAGTTTAAGCACATTTGTGACTTATGCATTAACAACAGTGAAAAATAAAAAAAAAAAAAAACCCGGAGGGATGAAAACTGCTGTAAAACCTGGAATATAGGTCGAATTTAAAAAATGTAAGGAAAGTCGACCCTTGTCTTATATACCGGTCATTGGCCGAGAAAATTGTGGAAGTCTCACAACAATAGGCAGCTGAAGTCAAAAGCCTCCATTGCCATCGTGAGCATCTGCAGCGGCGCCGATGGGCAAGGCTTAGTGTTCTAGTGACGCCATTTGCCTCGGTTATCTGCTGTCAGTCTGCTGTTTTCTATTTCATTCAGGAATGAGCGGTATTCGACAGCAGTTAACGATAGGCTTTGAGGAAAAAAAATTATGAAGTATGTCAAAGGGCACGGCAACCTGGCTGCACAACGGGAACTCAATGCATCAGAGAAAAAAAGCGTCGGATACTGGAGGAGCCAATAGCGCATCACATCCTGCAGCGACCAGAAAAAAAACAAAAAAACA